GGGAAAGGCCGGGCAGCCAGAGCGGGGAAAGCTCCTCCGGGCATGGGAGATCCTCCGAGGCTCGGGGAATGCCCGAATAACCCGCAGGATTGTGCGGTTGTGGGACCTTAAATGTCCTTCTCGCCCATTCCCCTCTGCGTGCACCAGCAGAGGGGCAGAAGGGCTGCTCCCGAAAGGAGCACACGGATGGAATGAGGAGGATGAAGAGGGGGAAACCAGCTACAAAACCATCCCGAGCGTTCCCAGGGACTGCAGACACCCAAACTGCCCATCTGAAAGGCTTTCAAGTAGTTGGGACAGCTCACTTAAAACAGCGAGCTCCAGTTTCTTGTGTAATCCATCCAAAATGCTTTGTGAAGCATTATACGTCCATTTCAGCTCCACTGCTTTCCAGTGGTTGAAATTTCCCTTGTATTTTAATAAGGGAGGACCTCCTTCTGCAAGCTGGTTTCTTTTGTCCCATTTATCTCCTCTGAAAAGTTTTCTTGTGTTTTCTGTGAAAATGAAGCAATCCTACCTCTTTGTTTTATGCCTGGGGAGTACCATTCAGGCTCTGTCTGCATCTGCAATAGAAGTTTTCAGTACAATTTTGCCTACAAATAAATTCTTCTGTAAGCTTAACACCACTACACAAATTGCACTAAGATGAACATTGGCCATTCGTGGTTTAAAAAGTTCTGCATTTGCTTTCTTAATTTTTTTAAAAATCCAGTGCCAAATTTAGCACAGAATTATTTCACCATAATTTAACCATTGAATTTAACCTTTCAAGCCAGTGAATTGCCACATTCTTCTCTCCTCTCCTTGAAGGTGTTTTCTGAGCACTGCCAGACTGAGGTCTCCAGTGGGTTGGGCAGCTCCACCTGCCTCCCTCATCCCAGCAGGGCAGCCCTGGAAGTGCCAGAACCTCATCCCAACCTCTTCCCCTGGGAATTCCATCCCTGTAAGCCTTCTGCCCTTGAAGTCCAGACCTGGTGTCAAAATTGTATTTCCATAAAAATTGTATTTTCCATAAACAATTCAGTCTTCTGTCTTCTCCCAGGACACACTCAACCTCTTAGCAGAGGGAACCAGTGGATCAATACCCCGTTTTGCATAAATTCCAGGAAACTGGAAATAATTTCTAACATTTTCTGCATACTCCAAAATGAGCCCTTCAAACTCTCATGCCCCCCTGGACAACATTCAAAGAAGCCTTTTTTCCTGTTTAGCTTCCACATCAGGTCTTCCTAATGGTTTTCAAGTGGGAAGGGTATTAATGTCTCATATCTTCTTATCAAAGCATGCATATCTAAAAACAGATCAGATTTTCCTTTGCTGAGGCAAGTGTATACATTTTCAAGACAAGACTATTCTTCTCCAGTAAATTCTGCTATCATTTTCTCTTCCAAAATAATTCAGTGCAATATAAACTCAAGCATCAGAGAAAAAAAACCCTCTGATACTGAGATTTAAAGTTCCCTAAAATAATTTGACTTTGATGAATAGTATATGCAGAACAAATTACAACTATTAAAAGTTATTTCTACTGTAAATACAATTTGAAGAGCATTTCACATAAAGATACAGTATTATATGTTGCTAGAGGCAGTTATAAAGCTCATTCAACATTTTACAACACCAACAAATTCAGTTTACATTGCTGACTATATTTAAATTGATCTTAACATGATTTGCAGTGTATTGCCTGTTTATCAAATGTTTACTGTCTAGGACTATTTTATCAAAAGTGAAACCTGTCAGTTCATATCTAGCTAGAACCAAATATTTGTAAATAGAGACAAAAAACCACTTGTTTCTAGACTTATTTTAACTCTTCCCTCTACTGCTTTGCTTTTATTTTAGCAAGAAATTTCTGCAAAAGTTCATCTTAACTAAGATGTATTTTGTTTTGAAAAGTCAAATTCTCCTCACGTTAAATGAATCCATCTTTCACTGAATAAAATTGTAATAAAAATGTACAAGTTTATTATATTCACTATTTAAATGATGTATATTTGTTACATATAAATTGCTTATAGAAATTTAGCATGCTGTCCTTTTTGTGAGAAATTGGCTTCAAATATTCTTGACCTTATGGGGTAGGTCAATAATCTAAGAGAAACTTGTTCTTGCCTGCTTGTTTGGACTAAAAATAAACCAGACTTTCCAGATTTCAAAAGAAACTTTTGGTCAAGATGATTGTCCCCTCTCCAGGTTCATATTTCCTGTCCAACCCTGTACATGCTAGACTCAGTTTGGAAGTCACTGAGCACAGAAGAGGAGCAGCACCAGTTCCAGGATTTCAGCTGCTCCCTATGCCGAGGGCTGCACTTAATGAAACTGCACTGAAATTCTCAGCTCAGACCTTTTCAGCCTCATAACTTCATTAAACAATCTTTCTTGGGCACAGTGCTCTGCATTCACTATCCAAGCCCAAACTGAAGGCTTTTAAATCCAAGAGAAAAGGAAGCTGAAGCTGTAAGGGAGAGCAGATGAGGGGGCAGAAGGGGGAGTGTGGGGCAGTGTAAATTGTTGAAAGGGGAGTGTGGGGCAGTGTAAATTGTTGAAAGGGGAGTGTGGGGCAGTGTAAGGTGTTCTCACACCCATTTCAGAAGCAAAGGACTTGATGCACACAGAGCCTGCAGAAAGCTACGTGCCACCATTGACTAGATGCCAAGGAAATTCATGAAAGAATCCCTAGTGCCTGAAATAACTGGAAATGACCTGGACTCTTGAGCTTTGTGGGTTTAACTCTTCTCAGGACAAAGCTGTGCTGTTTAGGGGAGACTGTAACTACAGCTTTGACACCAGGTGTGTGCTTCAAAGGCTTCTTCATTAAATGAGACCTCATCAGCTTAGAAAGTTTTGGACTCACAGGGTGAATCAGTGCTAAAACAGAAAAATTGTGCTTTCTACTGCTATCTCTGCAAATTCCATGTAAGAAGTTTGTAACCAGAATTCTTTAGGGCTGTTAGTGGGGTGTCTTGCCTGGCAAATTAAACCCAAGGAGAATCACACAGATTTTTTTTTTTTTTTTTTTGCAGCTCAGCACTGCAGCAATTGGGAGTATTTGCCTCTGTAAGGAGCTGGGTGACTCTGAGTGAGCACTGCCGTGCCTAAAGCTGCCTGCACACCCAGCAGGGCACACAATGAGAGCTGCCCCGGGCCAGTTTCCATGTGCTGCAGCTCACAGCCCAGCCCTGCCTTACAAAGGCCCCCAAAGCTCTTCCCTGACCCCCTCTGGAACCAGGCTGGCAGAGCTGCAGGCACAACTGCACCGAAAGGAAGTTTTTAACTCTGCGATTAAAAGAAATATTCAGGAATTTGAGCAAAAATGCCCTCTTGTAAGCAAACATGGATTGAATTCACAGCAATACTGCAGGTAGTGACAGAGGCAGGAAAGGCAGAGTAAGACACAACAAGCATGCTCAGAGCAGCATCCAGCCTTCGTGGGAGGAAGTAATCAGACCTCTGGCAGCAATTACAATTTTTTACTGCACTAAGCTTTGTTTTTATTATGACCCTCCTGTTGCTAAGATAGTGCTCTCAAATTACCTTACATACAGACTGTATTAAACAACAGGTCTGCCCAATTTACAGGGCCAGATGGTTCTCCAAAGTTTAATATATCATAGGATTTACACTATTAAAAAAACCCCACAGCCTTGACACTGCTCAGCCAAGCCAGTAAATAACTTTTCCCTTGTCCTGATAGGCAGTATGTGGATACAAAGTTTATTTCCTTTCCTGTTTGCAAGTGATGCCTGGCACATGGGAGCAAATCTGGTTTTTGGAGCCCTGTTGAACAGTGAAGTCAGCACCTACAAAACATGGCTGGGCCAAAGCCCTTCACACCAAAACTTCATCTGCCAGCAAGAGGAGGGAGGGCAGGTGGAGCAGCAGGATTATAAATACGAATTAAAAATAAAGCTGGCTTGGGAAAAAGGGAAAATAACCATATAAATGGCCAAAGGTAGGAAAACAAACTGTTCCAGCCTGGATATTTCACATGTATGCAGAGGATCTGGCACATTTCATCATGCCATGAAACATTAAACTGGTTCAGAATGAAGCTGAAGGGATTAACAAGAGACATGACAAACACCACCAACTTTGAACCAACACTTCAGGAGATTGCTGTTTAAATCAGAGATGCAGTAATTCTAAATAATCTTTGTTCAAACAGCAAAGAGATGCAGCATCCCTTGCACAGCTTATGACACCAGCCAAAGATTCCTGTTTTAGAAATTAAGCTTTCAGGCAGGGAAACCTCTGACCTCCAGGAGCTCAAGGCCTTTTAAAATAGACAATGGCTTTGGTGCTTCTTGGGCAGTTTCAAACTGATGAAGCAGTGGTTCCTAAGAGGGCAATCTTGAAGTAAATTAATTCCTGATTAGAGCAAATATTTATCTTGAACACCCAGAATAGTTACTGGGGATGTGCTTTCAGAAATCTAGGACAGCTGACTATATATGTTAGTATAGCTTTAAAACAAAGCTCAAACATTTTTTGAAAATCCAATTCAAACCATTAAAATAGTGACTTGGCTGAATTAGCCACTTCAGTCTGAGAATGAGAGATTATTCATGAGGCACTCAACATTATGAAGAAATTAATTAAGCACTCAAAAAATGCTTTAAAACTTGTGTGTCATAGTGAACTGTCCTTAAAAAGGATAACTTCACGCTTTTCTTTATCCCTGGTTTTACAGTGTATTGTGCTGACGGTTTTTACACTTTATAACAATTTCTCACTGGCTTCCCCAATTAACCACCTCGAAGGCAAACATTCACACTGAACATTTTTGAAGATTAATTCCATTGGTAAAATTTCCTTGTCCAGATTTTTCACATTCCATGATACTCTGCATATACCATTGTACATGGTTTTGTATATTGTTATATATATAATAAGGTACATTGTAGTTCAAAATAATTTTTCTGGAAAACTTTGCCTCAAAGATGAATTTTTGGCTGCAATGTTGAAACAAGTCTTCAGTTTTTTTAATAGCAAAGCCTTGTGCAGTAGCCATTTTGGCATTTAACAGCATTTCACACATTGAGGAAGAGTCAGCATCACCTGGTTAGCAGATAATAAGCACAAGGAGTTTGTATTTCCACTTGATCCAGATTCTAATGCCACTGACTTCAATGTAATATCTTGTGGGCCCTTAAAACTCTAGTACAGCAGTAACCAAAACACTGATTTAAATTTCTTGTGCCAGATTTTACTTGTGGGTATTGATAGTTTACAGTTGTCTAGAACTTACTGAAAATATTTCCTTGAAAAACTGAAGGCAGCTGAAGTGATCAGAACTGTCTCTTCTTGAGCATGGTTATGGTTTGGTGAGGGCGACACCCAAATACATTCCCAAATAACACTGCAAAGAAAAAATGCTGATAAACTGATGAACATTGGAATTGTACCTAAATGCCTGTGCACTCTGCATGAATTTCAGCTTGGATACTGGGGTATACTCTGAACATGCATTTGATTTTTTAATGCAAATTCTAAACACACACAGTTTTTATTCAGACATGTAAAAAAATGGCCTAAGCAAAATTTTTTTCTAAAGGCAGCAACATATGAAAAGTAATATCAGTAAAAGTAGTGTCAGTTCAGACATTTGATTCAGAGAATTAAAATAACTGGATTAGTACCTCCAGTGCAAGATGGAAGTTCTCAGAAAAGGCAGCTTTGAAAGAATTGGAAGAAAGCAATTAGCTTCCCAACCCTCAATGAAACAGTTGAAGCTGTATCTGCTTCCACAAAACAGCTGGAGAGAAAGCCAACATTTCCCAACCCTCATTATCACCAGCACAGAGTTCTTAATTCAACATCAACAGGAAACCCTGCAGGCTCTCCCCATCTCCATCACTGCTATTTTGCATTTCTGAAAGGAAAAGCTATCAGAACAAAGAGAAGCACTGAGAGCACCTAGACTGGTGTAAGTATCCCACCAGTGATATCTGGAACCCCCACCACAATGTCACACTCTGCAGCCTGGGCAGGGCCAGAAGGAAGGAAAAAGTCAAGCTGGTTTCATGTGGTTGATTTTATTATTACATACTGATAATACATTTCAGCACATCTGATATCAGAGTAAACCCCCGTGGGACAAATAAGTGCCATAATGGAAATTATGGAACAGAAGACCGGTGTAAAAAGTGTGGAGTAGCACAGCATCTAATTAAAAAAAAAAAAAAAAAACGAAACCAATTAAAAAAAAAAAAAAAACCAAAAAAAAAAAAAAAAAACCAAAAAAACCCCCACCAAAAAAACACAACCAAAAAGCCAACCAAACAAAAACCCAACCCAAAACCAACAAACCCCACCCCCAACAACAAATCAATGCTGTGAAACTTTGTGATATTAAACTTCACTTGGAAAAAAAAAAGAAAACAACTTAGGAGAAGCCTAAAGTTCACAAACTTCTGAAAACACAGGAAAAGCTATGTGCATCCCCCCAGTGAATCCATCATAACTCAATTCCATGAAGACCCTTTGCAAGTTCAGTGCTTAAATCTTCTACATATTGCATATTCTTCTTTACTGTAAGAGAGCACAGTGAGCTGATCTATTCTACACACATTGTTTCACTCTTTTGGGGCAAATGACAATCACAGTTTCCTCTAGCCTTAAACAGCTAATTCAACCAATATATATATACATACATGTGTAAACAAAATGTTACAGAAATGCCTTAAAGCAATTTCACTGAAGTAGCCCAATTCAGCCCAATTGTGCTCTTCACCTCCAAATCCAAAGTGCCAAATACAAGCAGGAAAGGTTTCCTCCGTTGCAGTCTAACAATGATCCCATTTACTTGGTGAATTTGTAAAAATCATTTCAAGCCACAATTTCAATTAATTCTAGAGGGCTGAGAACAGGAGTAATACATTTACAGTAACTGCACAGCTTGCATGGCCAAAAAAAGTCTCCAAACTCATTTTTAAACTGTTATTAACAAGTAATGGAATGTACATGTGCTGACCATTAAATGGAGAACTCAAAAACAGACACCTACTGCACCAATCCAAATTTGTTAATGCAGAAACATATTTGAAAATATACAAAATCTGAAGTTGTTACGTGAAATCAAAACCTGGTTTTAAAAAGTGCACAGTAAAAACTGAAGGTAATTACTATATAAATTATCCAGAGTGTGTATTTCCTGGTTTAGAGCCAACATTAAGTTCTGTTTTATCTGTCACAAGTTCTAAATATTTTCAAGCCATTTACAGCACCAACTCAGTTTTTACTAGACCCAAAACCAGCCTCAGCTTCCTGGAACAAACAGGAACTGGATAATGAATGGTCACTCTCTGCATCCTGTGCAGCAGCAGCAGCTTCCCAAGACTCAGCTGTAAACTATCGATTTTTGTTCTTTTTAGAATTTCCCTGCAAGTGGAAGGAAGCAAAGAGAACATTATCATTCAGGCAAGGGAGTCTAGACAGGTAACATACAAAATCTGATGTCTAATAATTTCTGCCTACAGCAAGCAAGGTACAGTCAGACTGAAAATAAACACTCCACAGACTTCTACGTTTGACAGATTGCAACCATTGGCTCTGAAAATTCCTCTGTTTCTATAAGCACAGAGGCAAGTACCAGATATCTCAAACAAGCACAACAGTGCTTTACTACAACTGAAACCTGGGAAAGACATTTAAGGGACATCCCAAGACATTCAACTGTATTAATACCCTTAATACTGTAAGGGCAGTGAAGGCAAGTGAAATCATAAACCTCCTTCATGTGCTACTCCAAATAACTTCTTACAGAATAATTGTATCACATTAAAAACCAATCCTCCACTACATGGAGTTTTTCCAAATGAATTTTATTTTAATTCAGGTTGTACAGATTATTCCTAATTCAGAACAGCGTTTATTCCACAGCTAGCCAACTCACACTTGACCTTCAGTAATTCCACAAAGGAAATGTGGAGCTTAAAATAAAGTTTTGTGCAACAGTTACATGCTGGCAATTCTCAGTCTTCCTATTTCCTGAAGATAACATTTGTTTTGAATCTAACCAACAACTCTCTCCAAGTGATAAGGGCTTTAACTGCATCATTTGGATTCCAAGTGGATTCCCTTCTACATTTGTTAACAACTGAAAACCTGTGTGGCTTCTGTGCTGAGGTCCTTACAGACAGAGTACCACTTCAATTCTTGCAAGTATGGCAAGTGAGAAATTCCAGAAAACATTTCATAAAAACATTGAGTGCCATGGTCAGTATGCAGCCAAGAGCTTCCTTCTGGAAACACAATGGCTTTTACACCACAAAGTCATTTTAAAGAATACAATGCCAAGTTAAAACACTCAGAAATCTGAAGAAAAGCAGGGGGAGGAGTTTACTCTTAAAAATAAAAATCATCATCATGGGATCTTTAATCAGAACATGGAATTTATTATTTTTACTTTTTTAATCCTTTGGTGACACCTGCTTCCATGCATCCCAAAAATAAGGAGAATAATGATAATTTATTTGTTTCACAGTCAGACAAATGAAGGACAAAGGCCTTCACAACATCTGTTCCTCCCTAGAAGCACCAGAATAGGATATGCCACGGTTTAATCACCGGCTGCTCAAAAAAGCAGACTTCTGTATTTTTCATTATTAGATAAGTAAATGATTTTTTTACAAGTGGGTAGACTCCTTGCCTGGTAAAGAACTTAAGTGTGCATTTCAAGCTCACAGAAGAATAGAAGTGGCAACATTTTCATTCCTACACAAGGGACAGATGAGCTAGAATGTGGAAATAAAACAGAGAAAGAGACCAGCTGCCAAGGACAGAGTGTGCTGCAACCCAAATGAGTGCAGAAGGGACACTTCTACTCAGAACTTCATCATAACCACCCAGCCCCAGCAGCTGAGTTTACAAATAGCTGCATTTTCACCACATTTAAACAAAAAAATGGTGTGATCTGCCATCAGAGGGTACACTTTGAGAACCTGATATGAAGCAGTGACATGAAGAGCTTGCTCTTTCCCACATGCATGTTTAGCAAGAATTGTTTTCTTCACTGAAACTCGTAGAAGCAAGTTTGGAGTTTTCCTTCCAGCTGGTGCAGAATAAGAATTACAGCTTGTGAGCTGCTCTGTCCAAGGGCAGAGCTGCAGAAACACCAAATGTAACCCTCCCACCCCAGCTGCACTGCCAGCTCACCTTACTGGTCAGCTTTAGGGTGTCAATCTCTTCCCTTTGCTTAGTCAAGGTTTCATTCATGCTGCACAGGTGGTCACTCATCATGCTCAGCTGGTCCTCATAGCTCCTCTTTGTTGTCATCAATTCATCCTAAGGGAAAATGAAACAACCAGAGGCCCTGGCTCAGTGTTAGTGATACCTGGCAAAGCAGCACACCTCTACCTCCACTTAGCTCCACTTTTGATGCTGAGTGTGTGCAATTCAGCTAAAAAACTAAAGCTAAAAACCTAAAACTAAAAATAAAAAAACACCTGTTTTATGAGAGGAAGTCAGTAGCTGCTTTTCTTTTACCTGAAGTCCCATGCATGGTTTGTTCCCTTTATTTTTGTGTTGTTTCCTTTAGATTTTTTCCCCCACTTTTTATGGCTTACAAAAAAGGGTAACAGCTAAGTTTTCCACCACTGCTTCCAGCCAGGAAACAAGCACTTTTTATGGGGTTAAAGCATGGCCTGCACAAGAACACACAAGGCTTCCAAAGCTGAAGGAAGCGCCACTCCACATGGAGCTAGAGAGAGTTATGATCTCTCTGGGATTATAGAGACATGGGGGATAGTGTGCATGGCTAGAACATAGCAATGAAGGGATAAACACACTTCAGGGAGGACAGAAGGGAAGAAGTCATGCTCTGTGTAAAGAAGTGGCTTGAAGACTAATAAATCTCATCAGCAGGAGGACAACAGGGTGATATGACAGGCATCTGCTGCAAGCAGATAAAAATCTCCCACTGACAGACCCTGATCTTCATTAGGGATTTTAATTATCTGACATGTCCTGGAAGGGCAGCAAGGTGGAACACAAGCAACTGAGGAGTTGTCTTAAGTGTGGCATAGAAATTCCTGATAGCAGCGCTGAGTGGGACCAAGAGATGCTCCCTGCTGGACCTGTTACTCAAATAAGGAAAAGCTGCTCAGGGATGTGAAAGCCAATGGCAGCCTTGGCTGAGTTAGTGGCATTCAGGATCCTGAGGGAAGCAAGATGAATGGCAGAATTACAGTAACCCTAGACTCAAGAGGAGTAGATTCTGGCTTCTTTCTGCTTGGCAAGGTCCCAGGTAAAACTGCTCTGGAAGTTACAAGGGCCCAGTAAAGCTGAATGATCAAAGACAGAACAAGGAACAATGCAATGCCTAAGTCATGGAGTGACTGTGGCAGACCACCAGCATGGCAGTATAGGAAATATCCAGTTCCACAGCTTGATCTGAACTCTCTGCTTCTCAAAGGAGGGGACAAATCACCTTCAGAGGACCCTTCCACCCTCAATATTATTCAGTACTATGCAGACTATTAAACATATAAATGGTGTGTGCCTGCTATCTTTTCTGAGGAAGTTTAAAATGCAGCTGGAAATTAACATCTCACGCTGAGCTCAACAACTATTGTGGAATTTCTTAAAGGAACAAATCAAGAAAATATTTAAAAAGGATTGTTCATGGGCACAACAGCTCAAAGCTTCTAACATTATATTCACAGCCTGGATGGAGCAATTTTGGTACTCACCATCAGAGACAGATGAGCAATAATGATATGAACTAAGTGTAAAGTAAACATGAAGGAATTAATGAATTGTGTACTTATTTATACTTTATTGTACTACTGGCTTCTTTCTCAGCTGTGTGGAGGAGAAGGACAAAGGGACAGGACACTCACAGGATGGCATAAGAGTTGATTTTTGTTAACAATAGCTTCTTAAAGATTACCCCATAACTATCTTTGCTTAATATTAAGGTACCTATATTTAAAAAATCCAAATCAACCTGGCATTTTTTAAAACTTTCAGACCTAGGTGCAAGAAAGGATTAAGAATTCCTTGTTTTATCCAAAATCAGTCAAACCACCACCCCTTTTGGCATTACAACTCTGTAATTTTCATGAAAATCCTTGACATCAAATGGGCTAAAACACACAGATTTGGCCAACATAACCTTTTCTGGGAAGCATGTTTCACTTCAACTTTATACCTGGGATTGAAAGTGTATTATTTAAGGCTCTTCTCCACATACCACTGCAGTTCTTGTATTCCACAACACAGGAATGGCATGGCCAGGCTAGATGGCTGTAATTTTTCTGCTCTAGCTTCCCCTTACACATGATTACAAATTGCATCTATTACATTACAGAACAATTTACTTGCCTGTAATCTGGTGATGTTTTGACTGGCGAGCTTCAACTCTTCTGTGAGCGATTCCTTGGACTTCTCTGCCAGAGAAAGTCTTTTGGCAAGTGCTCGACACTACCAAGAACAGGACAGGGAGGGTACAAGGGACAAAAGTCACTTCCTCAGTACTGCCTGGTGGCATCCTTAAGTGCTTGCTTTGGACTTCGAGGAACTCAGAGCTTGTGCACATTTTTAAATGCAGAGGTAATGGAATAGTTAACATGAAATGTTTCATTTTACAGAGCTACCATATTGCCAAACCTCTAAATATTGTATTTTTCATGTGACTGCTACAAAACTTCTCATAAGTAAAAAGCAATGCAAACACTTCATACAAGGCTCAAATATCACAGAAAAGATGGTTCCTCCATACTATGTCATCTTCAATTAAAAAACCAATATTTAAGAGGATTTGCTCTGTTAACCTGGAGCTTTAGTGTATTCCACATCATTTATTACACAAATCAAAACAGCCACTACTTTCAAGAAAAGCTCCCTCATGACTTGAAATGAAAAGGAAACCATAGATACAATGAATCATCTTGTTCATTCTTGCAGTATAACTTCTGCCTAAGAGCCAATTTTCTCAGGAGAGCTGTTTCCATCACTTCATAATACACTCAAATATTTCTGAATGACATCAGCATCACTATAAAATTAAGTCAAAACTTCCTTGGTAACTAAAGCCAGCTGCTTCAGCTTATGTGAACAAATCTATACATGACACACATTATACTTCTTAATACAGCCAAGACAAGGCTACCAAAGGATTTATTAAACATAAAAAGTTATTTTATGGCATCTATTTTTATGCATGCCAGACCACAATCAAAAATATTCCAGGAACAGATTATTATAAAACATTATGCTCCATATATTGAAACTCACTGTCAGAGCACTTGGCTGTGGGAAGTTCAAAAAGATTTACTGTCCTTGCCTGCATGCTCACCTCAGCATGGAAGTGCACGGATTTGCTGTCAGCAAGCTGCAGGTGAGAGGTCAGCTCTGCTATCCTGGCCATGTAGTGAGTTTTTATCAGGTCTTCACGAGACTCAACATCTAGAGCCTGGCAAGGAAAAGTTTAAGCAGACAACATTGATGTTTAGTAGACTGAACACCCAAATCACAACATTGCCTCTAAACAGACTTTTTTCTTCTTTCCTTCTGAGCCCTGGCTGCTCTATCAAAAAGTATCAAATTCCACAAAGACAACAGATGAATTACAGCAGGCCACACTGCAATTTGTCACTCTGATGGGGACTTAATGTCAGATTTCCTTACAGGGCAAGGAGCTGACTGAAGAGGTAGGAATTTAACTTGCTTTAATATATCAAGTGTCTGATGAAGATGGAAATCCAGAAGTGAACAGCTTTCACCTACATGAAAACTTACGGTCTCTTCCCAACAAGGAAGAATTCCATCACATAACTGTATTTCAGAAGCGTGCAAAAATCATAACCATTACTAATGTTGCATGTTCCAGAAGTTTTAGACATTTGAAATTAAAAAAGAAAATAAAAAATTTTAAAAATCAACAAATCAGTAGTTTACAGACTAACCCACTGAAGTCAGCTTTCACGTGATCTGTCATTACCTTCAGGTTCAGCACTGTGCAGAAGGCTCCAAGGACTTGTATCAGTTACTATCTAGCCCCCTACCCCTTGTCAATCCCACTCTCAGAAGGAGGAGTGCACTAAGCTACACATCAGTTCCCTGTGATATCAGAAAAGGGAAAGCAGGGAACCTTATTCTCAGCAGTTCCTGCTGGAGCAAGTGTTACATTATAGCAGGGCTAAATGCAGAGTTAACATTTATTCTGAGGGCTGGTTCAAGGTTTGTTTCAGCGTGACCTGAGCTTTGTAGCCCAGGCACTGCAGATAGGGGGTTTTTATGCAGCTTGAGCCCTTCCCCCAGGGTTAAGACTGGAGGCTTGGGATACAGTTTGAGCTCCTGAGGCACAGACAATTATCCCCTGGGGTCTCTGTAAACATCACCAACAGCACGGGACTGCCAGGAACGTGCCTTGAGCTGTTTTATTTTCCAGCATCACTCTCATTACATGGTTATGACAATGGGAAGATGCCAGCAGCTCACATCACAGGCAGCAGACCAAGAATTTAATGTTACAACTTACTCTATAAGTTTTTTGCCCAATCACACAAAGCAAAAGCACACTGACAGTAGCTCCAGCCAATCACTATAAGCACAGGTACCTTTGGTTAAAACAATGCCTGCTTATTTCGAATACAATACCTGCTTGTAAGCCTTAAAACACAATGCACAGAGCTCCATTATTAAGCTTAGAACTTCCTAGTATCTCACTATATATACTTTTCTGCAGCTTAGGGAGTTATTCTAGCCAAGTGTTAATACACAGACCATTGTTCTATTTGTCCTTACTTTTCTACTTTGTACATCTTTTTTCTGCTGACCTATCTCATGGCTACTGCTTAGCTCTAATCACAGTTCTGCTGTCCCTGAGGCTTGCTTTTTGCAGCTTTCCCAAAACCCTCTGATTTTATGGATTCCCACAATGACCAGTGCCTTCCTCAAGTTACAGAGAGCAGACATTGACTCCAGTTCACACTGCTCCAAAAGGCTCACAAGGGCCAAATAACAGATCACTAATTGAAAAAGAAAATTAAAGAACAGGTGGATTTCAGAAATTTGACCATTTAGTATATAAGGACTATGTGGTCAACTTGTGCCATTATACAGGAGTATTCTTGGTAATTAGACCTGTGGAATAAGTTCAGCAGAATCAGAATTGAAGTATTTAACAGATGGACTTTAATAATGTTTAAAACAGATTACCTTTTCATTATCAGTAGTTACAGTCAACATTCCAATCTAGAACAAGGAAGAAAATACACTTAATGAGAAACTGCAAAAAAATAGATACCACAGCTGCATTTTGGTTTCAATCTTAGAAGGACTTGCAACCATTCAAACTGAAATCAAATTTAAGTACTTCCACCTGTAACATAAACAAGAGTGGTTACATGAGTGCCTTGAACAGAATGAAACCTGACAACAACTCTCAAAAATATCTCTTGTCTTAGGAGGTACACAGGGAAAAGGCAATAAAAGCAACAAGATGCAGCTGGGCTCCCATGGTTATGCAACTGCTTGATCATATGAAACTAATTCAGAGCCACGTTAGCACACTGAAACATTACTTGTCATGTTTAAGAGGCAGGAAAGTCAACCTGGATTTCTTGAATACCTTCCAAATTCCTTCCTTTCCCCTCTGCCTAGTAAGCACTGGCAAAACTCTACAGGAGCAGAGCAAGCCAATACCTGGTTTCATGCAAGGATATCTTCCCAGAGAATCTAAGGGGCTTTTTTCCCTTGATCTCAACAGGACTAGAGATTCATGTTTATGGGGAACATTCATACAATATGTTGACCCATAAGTAACTTTCTCATCAAACTCCTAAGGAATCAAATAGGGGATCAAAAACTTAAGATGCCAGTGTACTTTAGAACTGGGGCTTTCAAACCACCCATTGTTACTTTTATCTTGGAGCAGGAAAGCAGGGAGGACAAAAAAAAAATAATTCTATTGAATGCTGACTGGATTTATTATTTCTTACAGATGACATTCCTGTTAATACCACTATGCCACTTCAGAAGTGGAATTCAGGGTAAAGGCCGATTCATTTAAAATATGTTAGTAAACAGGAAAAAGCCATTTACCCGCACAGAAGAGCAAGGAAACAATGCATGCTACATCCAAAAGCAATTGCTGAACCCAAATTGACCCCAATAAGTCTTCAAACCCATTGACAATCACTACCTACCTACTTCCATTTGCTTTAACATACCTAGAGATGAATAAAACTATTGGAAACACAGGCCCAACCTGAGATACACAGCACTTGCAAAGTTCCCTAAGTACAGACAAATCAGGAGATTAAGCACCTATTATTTCCCCCTCAGTTACACATGGACAGAACTACAAAAATATCTTCACAACACTAAAGACAGCAAACAAAGTCTCAAAATCCAAGAAGTGCCCAACTCTGCAGAAAGAATTTGCAAGCAGCTTTGCAAAGACAAGGACCCCAAGAGTGAATGCTTTTCAATACAGTCAAAAGGCTTTCATTTCTAGTGTTCCACTGATCAAACAGCACTGCTACTAAAGAAAGTGGATTTTTCTCTATTGAAGGGAAAGGTCACTTACCAGACTGGTGCTCTTAATAGGTTCCCTCAGACTCTTTTCTGTGGTTTCCTTCTTTTGTTCTGCTGTATTTGGCAGAACTGAATGCTCCTGGATAGTTTCAGTTAAATGTCCACTGAGAGAGTTCTTCAGTTTTTGGTTTTCTTTCTCTAGCTTAATTTTAGCTAGCTGAGCCTCCAACATCCAGTGTTCTTTTTCTTGTTCAAGTTTTGCAATTTTCTCCAAACTCTGCTGGACCTTTAGGAGGGAAAGTTTACAGTCCAGGTTATTGAACCAGGGAGGAAAAAACCCACATACAGGAAATGTTTGTATTATTTTAAAACATTACATAAGTGAGCTAACAAAGTGCAGCAGGTAAACAACCACTGTTCTGAGCTGTGTGCTTAGCTGTGGCTCTTTGTCAAAAATGGCCACATTACTTAATTAGTTTGAAACATGCACAGCTCATAAAACTGGCAACATTGTACTAGGTGAAAAACCAAAGCAGGGAAGAATTTTATAAAAACTTGGAAGATGTCTACCTGGCAATATCACTAGCTTTTCCTATGCTAGAAAGACAAACTGTCTCCTCCCAGCTGTCCCACCTCACACAGACAGAACCACCCACTTTGTCCAGGTAAGAAAACAACTGCGGAACAGAACACATCTAATCACTGCACATTTCTGCTGAAATTCATTTTACTCCTACTAATACACTTAGAATATTGGTAGCTACAAAAAAAAAAAAATCACCAAAGTATTTATTTCTGTAACAGTCCAATAACAATGAGTCAAGCATAGGCTGAATATGCAAGCTAATAAAGTGTCAGTATTAATTAGTTATTCTCATTCACATGAAGCAATAGACAAACTGTGTAGGCCTTTTAAATACCATGTTACCCATCCTGCTTCACCTTCCAGAAAAAAAAAAATATATATATATGCATACTGGCAGATAGAAACTCTAACCTATCACTAACTGAAATGAAAAATCAGTGCCCTTAAACAGCACAAGTAATTCCTGCATAGTCCAAAAGAGGACTCAAATCAGTACATAACATTAAAAATTAATCCTTTAGTATGCTTCATTCCTGTCTTTATTTTGCATTTATTTTAATTATTAAAGATTATCTGACTTCTTGTATTTCCAAATGAAGGTATCAATGGCATAATCCTGGCTCCTATATCTACCTACATGTACATCCTGCAGATAACTCACCCTGGCAAAGGTTTTACTTTCAAAACTCTACAAGACATCTACAGTCTAATTTTAAGGTTCAGCATATTCATATATACCCTACAAATGACCACAGACATAAATAGGAGACTTTGATACAAGTTCACCTTTACAAAATACACTGCCTTACATGTCAGTACAATATTAGTACAATACCTGTTGTGCAAGACCTTCCCTGCTTTCTGTAGAACTCAGGAGAATTCTGCGATTGGCTAAAGCCTCTTCATAAGGCACTGAATCTGCACAAGGCTGCAGAAAAATCAAAAAACCCCTCTCAAAACATATTACACACTAGATCAGAACATGTATTGTGCTTTTATTTTTGTACTACTTTCCTTACTTCAGTAAAGGGAAAAAACCCATGTTCCAAGTGCTTACCAGGTAAAAGGAAAAAATGGTTTGAGCTCTCAAGAAATACTGCCCCAAAAGGTACAGCTGACTAAAAAGAGCTCAGAAAACTCTAAATGTTAATTAATAATCAAAGGCATCTTAAGGTCCTCTTTACAAACATTGCAGTAAAGTGATTCAGTGACAACTGCTAAGCACATCACTTAATGTTTAATTTTAATGGAGGCAACAGGGAGATCTGACTGCATTCAATCCTTGGGTTCAGCACATTTTCTCCAGGGTACCTCTTTTTTTTCCCCTATGTCTTCCAGTGAATACAAGTGTAAGAATATGTTTTCATTCACTCCATATTCCTGGTGAATACAGGAGATTTACATAAGCAGCCACCCTCTTCGTGTTTTGGCACAGAAATAATCAGTGGAAATGGGTAATGGCAGAAGTGGCACATACCCTCAGTTGTGAGGGCAACTACACTGAAATTTTCAGTAGTATTATTGCAATGCTATCCTTGGCATTACTGCAATATCCTCAGCCAAAACCTGTCGTTCAGACAATCTCTACCATTCCAAACCCTGCAAACCCTTAGTTTGTGTTCTGCTTGGCATAACCACCAACAGAACTGAGCTCCCTCTGTGCAGGCACACTGGCTGAACCAACCTTCTTCAAGGACTTCACATAAGCAGCTGCCTTCTGCTTGTACTGCAGCATGCACTCAGCTGAGAGAGGGCTGATGAACTCTGCTCCTCCCTTGGGGCCATAGCTCAGAGAGGTGCTGAAGTGATCCAAGTTGTTGCTGAAGAATGAGGCCATCTAAACACATCAAGAAGTGGCTCTTTGAATTAAATTGACCAGAGGAAATCATTGGAGCAATTAGTTTTTGAAAAGACAAGTATTTAGTGAAGCTGGAGTTCTTAACAAGACTTTGAAACAAGCTGCAGGCTCTGCCATGTATCCCAGACCTTCCTAACACAAAGCATCCTCCTCACAGGATCTACTTTTATCACTCAGTTGTTTTAAACTCATAGCCTGAAAATAACTCAAGAATCAACATGACCTTACAGATTATTAACATCAGAGGCACACAGATTTTCTAAATGGTTCAGCTAAGTTTATTTTTGTTTCTTAAAAATCTGCACAAGTTAAGGAATTGTTTGAAACAAAAATACCCATTACCTTGCCTGCTCCATTTGTTAAAGCAGCAACAGAGGATAAAATACAGTCATTTGTAGTTATGAGTTTCTGTGTGGCAGTTGGAACCTCCTGTTCTAAAGCAGCTTTCTGACTATAGTGCTTGGAAATATCTGGAAAATGAAAAGCATATTATGCCAAATTAAGAATAAAAAACTTGTTGAAAATCATTCACAAAAGCATCTTAGCCTAAATATATTCATTTCAACAACACCAAAATTTAAAAAGAATCAAGTATTTATCATGTAAGAACATTCTCAAGGTGGCCTAATTTAAAAAAAAAGTAATTGAACAATGTGCACCTATTTTAAAAAAAAAGTAAATGAACAACGTGCACCTATTTTAAAACTGAGTACTATTGCTACAGAATGGAGAAAATCCAGCTCATCACCACCACAAACTGTAAACTGAAATAATCTTAAGAAGTTCAAAATTAGTTGGGATTGAGAAAGTAGAGAGAAATAAAATATTCTGGAGTATGGGAGTGTGAGATATTAAGAAGAACATTTCTGTGGATAGCTAATGAATTCTACTGACAGTTTTCTTCACTGCTTATATTTTCTGTATTTCCTTTAAAGCATAAGTTGGATTGATTTTACATTATAGCAACCATTTTAAGAGGTAGGAAGTACTTTAAACTTATGTATGCTACAAAACTCATGGTTTAGGGTCTCATTTTGTGAGGAACAATCTTTAATACCTTTTTTCTTTAAAACAAAGACTCTGCAAAATGGGACCAAACTTCTCATGCTATGAAGAAAAAAACCCTAATTTTGCTTAAAATTATGAAAGCTTAATGTTTAAATAGCTGAATAGTAAAAATCCAGTTCATCTCTATGGATTATTTTCTCCCCAGAAACAGCTACATGGTACTGAAATTCTAGGACATGCAGGAACATCAGATTCAAAATTTTGAGGTTTAACCAAATACCCTTCACTTAAAACATAACATATCCATGTTGTTCTGATAAAAGCAAGGTAAACTATTTTCCAGAAGAAGCCAAGTTTCAAGAAGAATTCAGACTTCTTTGTAACTTTTGGTTACATTTTCATGTTAAAAATAGTCATCACCCTAAAAATAGGAAGCAAAAATTCCACTTTGAAGGCAGGTACTTAGGTCAATGCTACAAATGCAGGGAAAATAGGTACATTTCACAGCATTCCATTCTGTGTGCTAGTTTCAGGAGAGCAATGAAGCTCAGAAAGTAAAGTGATGATGCTCAGGAAAATCTGAAGAGCCACAATTAAATAATCCAGCAACTCTGAGGAACAAAGCTAAGAGAAGGGAGGAATGAAAACCATGCATGAATGTCTAAAACAAGTGGTTAGTAGGTTTAGTTTCTTAGCTTGTAAAGGTAAAACAAACCTGATTTATCACATATGATACCTTCAGCACTGTTACAGAGAGAGTGCATGTGTGCTATGCTAAACAAGAAAGCAGCAAAGCTGAAACAAGACAACATTCCCAACTCTCACCTTTTAAAATGTCATGGAATCCATGAAGACCTGCAGCAATGTTTGTAAACACAAAGTTGTAATTTGTCCTAAGGAGTCCTTCTGGTCTTGTACCTAAGAGTAACACATAAGAAGGAAAACCACAAAACTAAGAATTGAGCATGAATGAAAAAAGTCAGCTTTGAAAATAACTCAGTTTCCTCCTACTAGAACCATTTGCATGGAGGATGAGTCACAATAGATTAATTTACTTAAATTTCCCCTTCAATATCAAATATTGATATCTCCAATTCTGGCAGAACAGGCAGGTGAAAGACTTTCAAGTCCCCTAGTTTTTATTCAGATTTCATAAATATCAATTGTGTTGGTGTTAAAAACCCCACATACAGAAAGACATGCTCACAGCTGTAGGAAAGACAATCTGGGCCTTTCTAAAGAGACAGGACTGAAATAACCTGAAGCTATAAAACAACCATTTCCTAGTGCTATTTACAGGATGCATTTGGAGACAGTTTCCCCACACACATACACACAAAGGCTTTACCTAATTTTATTAATTTTATTATTTAGTAGCACAGTTGGACAGTTGTAATAACCTTACGAAAACGAGGGGCTGGAAGTGATGATTAGTAAGAAAATGTAGTTTATTTACCATTTCATAATTAAGAGGTGGCAGAAGGCAGACTGTCAATCATCCCATAAAAACCCACAGAAAAGCAGTCACAGGTAGCCAGCCAAGCCAGCACTGACACTTACTTGGTAAGGCCAGAAGACTGACATATGTGTGGAGCTTCTCAAAGACTGCAGTCAACCTTTTCATGTCTCTGTGCAGCTCCATATTCCTAGCTCTTAAAGCAGCTGTGCAAAGAGAAGACTCACACTCTTCTTCCAAACTAGGAATATATGAATTATTTTTTAAAAAGCAAGCAATTGTCTTAAAAATAACAAGCTCATGAGTTTTAGAGCACATAGGTGTTCTCTACTCCCCAGTGGAAAGCAACAGCAGGCCAGGAATTGATTTTGGAAAGGCTAACACAGCAGAGGAACTCAGCAATACATGAAAATTACTGTGTGCATGGCCACTCCCAGGTGTTTCTGTCACAAGCCAGGAATGATTTACTCTCACAGCAAGGAACTGATTGCAGCAATTTAAGTTTGAAGACTTTTCCCTCTACTACATAAATTCTCTTTTGCTTCCTAAGGAGCACAAGAACAGGTATAAAGGAGGCATAAATCAAGAGGGTTTTTTTCCTTCCTTAGTCCAAACCTCTCTTAAAGCAGCTCTTTGCACCTATAATTCACCTCCCTTCAATCAATTCAGGAACAAACATTTTCCAGCAGAAAGGATGTAGACCTAGCCAAGTTTTACAACGTTGTTACATTTACTGATTGATGAATAAACCCCAGAAAAAGTCAAGGCATTAACAGTTACAGTGCATGACATCTGAATAGTATCAATGCTATTGAATAACACTAAGAAACATTAATGAAAGCTTCATTATTTTTTAAGTATCATTTGTGAGAGAGGATGTGTGTGGAGGGGCTTTAAAATACATGGTTTTAGTCCTAATGCCTCAAAAAGCTGTGCCTAATCTCAAGGTTTAGAAAACAACATGCAAAAAAAAAGAAAAGAAAAAAGAAAGAAAGAAACACACAAAAAAAGAGTTCAGCCTTTTAAGACAGCAGAGGCCAGAGCAGTTTAAGGTTTGACTTAATATTTGAGTTGTAGGTGCTGATGGTGCTGCATGCCTGACACAGTGCCTTTAAATTTGATCTATCAAATGAAAGGTACCTTTTTAACTGATAAGGAAGAATCTTTCTTAAAAAGCCTAAGTAGGAAGCTAAATGTTCTGAGAAGGCCTTCAATTTCACAGTTGTTTCCTGAAAGGAAAAAACAACAGGTAAGTGGTTTTGCTCTGTAAAAACCTTTTGGGTACTAAAAGGAGAAAATCTTACCAGGACTGTCACAGTGTCCTCCGTGATGCTCTCAAACAAGTGCAGCATTCCTTCCTCCAGAGGGCGAACATAGGAAGCGTTTTCATGGAGATACTGTGAGAACTGAGGACACAGAGGTTTTAAAACGGTGCTTGCTGACAGTTCTTGTCAACTCTGCCAAGGCAACACCTGAACGGGACATTTTAGCCAAACCCTGTCCCCCTTAACGATGCCTGAGGTGTCACAAATGAGAGACAACGGTCCAGTGATGCACAGCAACCTCTTCTACAGTCAGAAACACACCTTGAGGGAGAGCGAGAAGCACTGCAAGTCCAGGCAAAACCACACCTAGGGCTTTGCCAGAGCATCCAGTCTCATTTCAGCTGCCATGCACAGCACATCAAACCCTTGCTTTTTAGTTTTGAACATTCCTGAAATTCCTTCCTCAACTCCATCCAGTTAAGGCTAGATCCATGCACCATTTAGCCACTGAATAAACTATCCCACCTTCCTCCCCAAAGTAGTTTGCCTCCCAGCCTTGTCCATCAGCACAACCATTTGCAAAGCTGTGCTGTGCAAAGTACTGAAGAACTAAACCCAATTCAAACTGAGAGCAAGACCTGTGTCTTTTCTGTCTTTTCACCTGTGTCCAGCCCAGTTTTCAACAGGAGTCAAAGCATGCTTATGCTAATGCAAAGCACAGAGCCCCAACTAATCACAGGAGAATTCTTATTTTATGGACCTCATGGACCTGCCTGACTTTGCTAAAAATTGCTTCATTAAATCCTACAGTAAATTTTGCCCTTAAAAAAGCAGACCTGAGAACATAAAGTGTACTCTTACACATCAAATGTAACACCACCATCAACTTTCCATTCTGGTACCTCAGTATCACAAAAAAGCTTCTTCCACAAATTAATACAGGTAGTCAAAAGCAATCCTGGCTTTTATTTTACCCCACAGAAAGATCCCTTCACCTTTGATTATTTACACCACAAGAGCAGCTAAAGATCCCAGGCAAACAGAGTACAAGAGGTTTTAATTGTTCCTTGTGTTATTACAGTGTGGTAACACAGTGTTAACAAGAAGACTGAGATGCTAAGCTTTGATCCACGCATGCACAAACCTGGGTGGAAATAGGGAAAATTCCTAAATCTAAAGAGGAAGAAATAACACATGCAGAATGCTCCTGGCTTGTGTTGCAAGAGAGAGGACTTGAATTATCCAGCATGATGCTGAAGACCCAGCAGAACCCAGCAATCCAACCCTTAAAGAGAAAAGGAATACTTGAACCTGGCAGGGAATTGTCCACATCTACTTTGAGTGTTTGGTGGGGAAAATAGCTTGAAAGCACCAGACAAGACCTGGAGTTGGGGAAAAATAAATCAGTGCAAGTCTGCTAAGCCACTACCTGACACTTGTTTCATCTTCTCTACCATATTAAGGGGACATTTTTGACCAACTTCGTGGAGTAGCTAAAAATAAAATTTAAAAAAAAAAAATCACACTGAGAACACTTGCCAAGCAAATAGATCAATTAATAAAAAATACAGGAGCAACTACAGCTTCAGTGAGCAATAAAAGATGCTTCAGCGCTGGAAAGTCACAGCAAAAGCCCTGAGAAGTAGCATGCATTGAGGGAATTAGGCAATGAATACACAGTGAGGCAGACTACAAGAGACATAATTATGAAAACAAAGCCTGAACTACTGAATCAGACTCAATTTTATAAGAAAAGGAAAATGAAATTAAACACAATAAAGAAGTGTTAACTAGGAGGTCAGGGAAAAAAATCTGTGAGGAGAGATGTCTAGGAAATCTGATTTTATTGCTTTTGTGTAAACTGCAGTAGTATCTGAGAATGCAGGCACCACACTGAGCCACATTAAAAAAGAGACCACTCCTGCCCCCAAAAAATCTTAAAGATGACTAAGCCACATGATTTTCACCAGAAGGACATGCCATTCTGAGTGCATTTGGTGGCAAGAGCAAGAAAATGTTCTCAAACTATGCTGAATCTCTGCAGAAGGGTGCTCTTGGCTAAATCAGTTGAAACAACTGAGAAGGCAAACAGAAAGGGATTTCTCTAGTGGATAACCACCTTCATAAACATATTTGTTACCTGAAAGAAGATTATAGGAGGTTTTCCAAAGAACAGGAAAGTTTTGTCATAGTTAACATTGACACCACATGCATTGCAGCCACTTGAAAAATGCAAACCACAATTCACCTCAGCACCTTAAGTCTGAGCCCTGGCAACTCCTAAACTGAAATTAAGAAACTGAATCACAAAATACTCCCTGTAACTTAAATACTCACAGATCCCCTTAAACTATGAAGTCAACTCTGATCTTAATGCAATTTGTTCCAAAGCATACATGTATGCATCCCCACACAAATCCTAGTGCACAGTTATTTTCTCTAGTTCACAGCAGAGGAAAACAAAGTCAAAACATGCAGCTCAACAGCTCTGGATGACACTCTCAGAAAATCTTTCCATGGAATTGTGTCAAAAGAGATGAGTCAAATTTCTCATACTAATTTCAAGGTGTTTTACAAACTTGAAGCTTCAGAACAGTTACAGGAAACCTCCTCACACAAGCAGCCCAAAATCAGATTATAAAGTTGTTTTTTGACAAGGGAACAGAGTCCAGGTTCTCTCCCTCATATAAGTCTACCTTTTATCCTTTATTTAATATTACAGCTAAACACTTTAAACACAAGACCAGATTCCATCTCAACGTCTCCTATGCCCCAGTGCATTAACTACAACAAGCTCTATTCAGCAGTGCAATATTTGTGCATTATTATTTTAAAACAAGTCAGCTGAACTTTCAACAGATCCACTTAAATTCAGCAATTAAAAAAGCAAAGCTTTGATTTGATTATCATATTTCTCTTCCAGCAGAGGCACAGGGGAAAAGGGTTCTCTGCAGCTACACCTAATCCACATTCAGAGAATTCATGGAGCAGAAAAGATGTCCCATGCAGGAGGGGCTGGCTCTCAGGGACACACAGCACTCCAGTAAAGGCGGTGCAATTTTCCCTAAGACCAATCACTCACTAAAGTCTAACTAATTGAATATATTTGTAGCTGAAGTGTGTAAACATTACCTTCTGATTCAAGGGTGATATTGTGTCTGTTGCAGAATCAATGGGGAAGATCTGTACCTTCTGCTCAGTGTATGTGTGGAAATTCAGGAGAGCTGTTACAAGTTCTTGGACAAAAGCCAGGGCCTGGCCAGCAAGGTCTCGCAGCTTCAGCTGGAAAGACATTTATAAAATGATTGTGTTTGAATGGATCTATTTAAATATGAGAAAAAAACCTGTTTGAATACAAAAAATCATTATCAGCAATTTCTTTCTTCTTGTTATTTCAGCCTAAAATACACAACTGCAATTATTTTTAACTTAATTTTTATTCATAAACTACAGAAGGGCACATTGTTCTCTGACAACAAAGTATCTTTTTATTTCACACAACTGGTGACGGTTTGCCTCTGCAGCATTTTTCAAACTTGCAAACCACAAAAACACTGAGAGGTCAGCACAATTACAGAAACCATGTCTGAAATTTCCAAAGAATAACAGACTAATTGCTGACAACAGCTCAACACCAGGTTGCAAGGAAACCTCAGTTTAATTAGTAAAAAACAATGATGTTTGCTCCCAGAATTAAAGGTGTCTGCTCCTCTACCCAAGAACACTCAATTCTTCTTGACAGAGGTGAGCTGCTGCTCATGAGTAAGGCTGTTCTGTGGCTTTAGTAAAGCAGGAAGGTACCAAAAAAATTAATCTAGAATGGAACATAAATTCAAGAGAGAAGAAAACTATTCCCTATTGGGATTTATGGGAAGAGAATAATGTTATAGTGACATTTCAGTCAAGAACAACTTATCCTTCAGAGATGTACTCTTAATGCCTCGATGGACTGTTAAATCAGGTCAGTCTTGATTATGGATCTGGGATGGTGGCAAGTAATTAAAGCAGTCATTATACCCAGCTTGTATATGTTAATTAGTCATGTAAGGAAGGGAAACACACACAGCCTGTGCTAATACACCAACATTTTGCCTCCACTGGCAAAGCCAGTCATAAAAATCTGTCTTGAAGTATTTTCAAGATTGCAGATCTTGAAGCATGAGGCTGCCTGACATAGTGCTGGCAGAAAATAGTAAAAGGAGGGAGTTTCCATACAGCTATTGAGATTTTTCTTGGAACTCAGCAGCAGCAACCTGAAATTTAAGGTTATTTCCATCACAAAACTGAACACTAAGTCACCTGCTCTCACAGCAGACATTATTGGGAAAAAGGTCTCTTTACAGGTACTTCTGAAGAATGGAGAAAGCAGCTATTTTAAATCTTCCTGCAGTAGCATCTGAATGCACTAACTTGAAGACTTGAGACACACAAGGAAACAGAAAAACCCCACAGTGCTGAAGAGTGGTAGCAACACAGGAAAATTTTGACTGCATGCAGGTTTCTGATTTGCTATTGTAAAAACCCTTAAAATATTCAGCCATTCACAGAATGCTCATTTTTGAATACTGAATAAACAACATTTCCAAGGAATCTCATTAAATTACAGCAGTGAACAGAAACTGTTTTCTAAAAACGTTTCAATACATAAGAGTTATTCTGCTGCAAGTAAGAGGTGCTTTGGCACGAAGTATCCCACAAAATGTAAATGAACCATGCAGAGATCTCAAAGTGACATGGTTTATTCCTTGAAAGGGCTGTGACTGGTGACAAGTAAAGTTACCTAACACAGCATTTTAGTGCACACACCACTGTGCAGTTTACAAATGCACACATTCCCTAAAGCTCAAGTGATGTGTCTGAAGAAGCTCAGTTTGAGGGAAAAGGAATTTAGGATACCAAACCTAGCTTCTTCCAGCAAAAAACCTCTGAACTACTGTAGTTTTAATCAACTTTAAAAATGAAATGTTCCACCTTCTAGCTTACTGAAGGTTGACACAACAAAAGAATATTTCATATAACTTTATTACTCCTTGATGTAACAACAATGTACACAAGGTCTTGAAAAGTGCAGAGGCTCTGTGGGCAGAAATGCTCTCAGAATACCATGACAGTAGTAAGACAGGCTATCTTCTGCCATTTGAGGTACTAAAATGATTGGTTTTATTCCAGCATCTGTGTAGAAAGTTGTGCAGAGCCACATGAAGCACAAGAAGCACTTACCTGATTCCTTCTGTTGTGCAATGGGACATTCAGAGCATTGTATCGAGCAGATCCTACAGGACAAAAATTGAGTTTTATGCACTTGTTAAACTGTGGGGGAGAGACATTTTTTTGTAAATACTGATTTAAAAAAGAAAATTATTGCAGGGATATTACAGGTTATGTAAGCAATATTAACTAAAGAGATATAAATAATTGACTCAAATAAACCAGGCCTAAATATCCTCACTTAAGGGTTTCTGTGATTAAGTGGAAGGGAAAGCAGTTCAATACTTGCCTCAGATTTTAAGTCAAATTTAATCAACTGAAGACCCTGAATTTGAAAAATAAGAGCAGACTCCTTTTGCCCAAAGAACAATATCCATCACAAACAAGAGTGGAAAAATCTTTTAAAAGTAAACACACTTAAAGAATTCAAGATTACCTTCAAATTTCAATTACATGCCAAGGAGGGGCCAAGTAATGCTAATAAATTTTTGAATGGTTTCCATGTTTTTTAAAGCTCTTGTATACATTTAATATGTTGATAATTCAGACTAAGATGTACTCTCCATGTATTTCAGCATTCTTCTCTAGTCATAAAGTAACCAGAATGATTATTCAGTTACAAGCAGCCACAATTAGAGGGGCAGAGGGCTATTTGTACCTAGACAACAGCTTACAAATCTTAGATTCAAAAGGGGTCACATCCATTCTCAACTCAGTTGAACAACAACCAGCTTAGTTTAAAATTTGCTCACAAAGGAAATTTAGAGTTTTTTATTCCTTTTGTGTCATTCACATCTGGCTATTAAGACATGGCAAGAGGCAGTTACATTTAGAGGAAAATAACCCTGTCCAAAATTATTGAATCCTACTTCTAACTAAATGCTTCAAGAAACTTTTCCTGCTCTGTAAATCATGCTTAGCAGTCATTTAATTGTTACTGAAATTAGCTGCTAGTTACACTTGAAGCCAACTACAGGGTCTATAGAAAGACAGCTGGAATCCACAGCAAACAAACATTTCCTGACTTCCACTGATCTATCACTACAGAAATGTTCTCTATTTGCAGTGTTTTCTACTACACAAGCAAAGGCATTATGCTATGGCAGCTGAGCAAGCAGATAAATTATTTTAGCGAAGTTCTTGCTACAATGATAAGCACCTGAAAAAAATGCAAACTAAAGAAGCCAGAGAAGTAGAAATAGGCAGCAGATGCCAGGCAAAGAGAGAGAAGTGAAAAGGATCCCAACTCCAGGCACCAACACCTCAGTGTGATGTGCTGTATGGGAGTCAACATTTCCTGCAGAGATGATGATCTGCTGTTCCTAAGCCAAGACTCACTGGATTGCCAAACCACTGGAGAGCTTGGCACACTCACCCCTGCAACACCTGCCAGATCAGCTTTTAGAGAGCCTAAGGCTACTTAAAACACTGTCAGCAGGTTTTACACTGAATGAAAAATGCAAAAAGCCACCAATGAAATATACAAGAAATTCAAAAGCCTGTTTTCACTTCTCTGGTCCTTCTTCACTACTTTGAGCTTTTTCACTATTCCAGGTTCTCCTGGTCTTGAAGAGGAGGCAGTGCCTGCCCCACCTTGTGTTCAGCTGTTTAGGAAAGCACACAGTGCACAGCAGCACATACTAACCCATGCTTGCACCAAAGCCATGCAAAGGCTGAGCACTCCTAACTCCAGGGGCTCCTCTGCACTTCAGCTGATCTAGCAGCAGTTACAAAGGAAGCAGAAAAACATTGCTTCAGGTAAAAGTCCCCAGGTCCAAAGGGCTTTTTTTCCCAGGAAGGGACAAACAAGTCTAAGCAGCCTTCAGGTAAGAACTACTCTGTGTGTTTTCTGATCAATGAGACTGAAATTCCCCACCAGTAATAAGTGCATCAATAATGATGCAATATCTCTGCAGCCACCAGTTTTCCCCCACCTTAATTTACTGCACCTCTTGAATATACCCTGCCAAAAATAATACTCTGAGATGAGTATCCAATCTTTATGGAGCAGTCATTAAATTGACAGTTTTCCTTCATCCTGTCAACACTAAATAAGACAAGTGGCAAATCACTCAAAAAGTTGCAATTTTTATTATACATATAAAAACTTGGTATTTTAGAATTACTGAAGAAGACCATGACAAGTATCAGGAATACTTACTACAGTTACCTCCAAGTGTCTGTTCAGATGTCCAAGATTTCTTACAGCTAATACATTTTAATTCAGAAGGAGTACTCCCTCCAGATGGATACCCAAAAAAAAGAATCAAACAAGATACCCAGACCAAGGCAATACGTACTTGTATCATTAAAAGGAACTTTTTCATTAATTATGCATAGAGATTCTTCCAGTCTACTGCCCAAAGCTGCTTGAAGATTCTTTAGCTGTTGCTGGCTAAATAACAAAGAGACAAACGAAAAACCACACACACACACACATTGTAAACCTTTACAACTTCAGCTGTATCACCAACACCATATCTCACTAGAGGCATCCCTTGAGTGTACAGGTATCTGTGTCCTTCTAGAAGTTAGATAAAATAAATACAGTGGGATCATTTGTCCTCCTTCATCTCATATTTAACCCAACATTGAATCCTAATCCCTAACAAAAGCAGTGAAAATTACCATAAACTTGAAAATCCTAAATTCCATTCTTGAGAAGCTCCATTTACCTCAGAGTTAAAATTCACCTTATTTTCCTATAGTGCAACTATTATATAAGCTATATGAAGGCATTTTTTTCTACCAGAATTTGGATGGGAAGGTAACAGGGCCTCCAAATTAGTTACTATGCATCCAATGCAGCATTCCAATAAGGAGGCAATGAGTTGTCAATAATTCAATTACCTATGTCACATCACTATTTGAGATACCTCAAAGGCTTTTCAAAACCCATATTTAAACACTGCTATGATACTGCCTGTTCTGACATGACTTGACAATTATGTTTTTGATGCATTCCCAAGTGATTTTTCTCTACATTTTCTTCACTTGCATTTGACTGTGTGAACCTAAGTAATTAGGATTACTAATGTAATGAGAATAGATTGCTGAGATGAACAGTAACATACTGCAGCATTATATATCTACAAAGAACACTCCATTGATTCAGACCAAATTGCACACCTTACCCAATTTAGGCCCTCATATTCTTCACTGTTTTGCTTCCTGTTTGACATTTAGAACTCCTGCACATATAGTGCAGGGTGGGGGAAAGGTGTCAAAGTGACAGGTTTTTTTCCTTTTCTTACAATATTTGATGCCAGAAACTTAGCAACTCTACCAAAGCAAAATAATCCAAAATAGACAAGGAAGATATGAAGAAACTGGCCAATAGGTAGCTCATGCACATTAAATACTTTTCTTGGAGAGCAGCTCCATAATTGCACAGAAACTGTACAGCAGGTACTGCTGTAGCACTGAGCATGATAGAAAATGAACTCCAACACAAACTGCAAATGTACTGATAGTTCCTTTTCAGACTTACAGGAATGACAAACAAGTAGTTTGACATGTTTTGCCTTACATTCTGCCCTTTAATTTTCAAGGCATGCAGGCTGTCAAGTCCCATATCCTCTGGCTTTTCTGAGTAAAGTGTGGGTGTCAGAGGCAAATGGATCCCTTCCCCTGACAAAGCAGGGAAACAGAAGAGCAGTATTCTCAGGGACACATCCTGCCATGTGTTCAGCAGACAGTGATTGCAGTGTTTAACATGAAGTGTCAGGCTTTATTACTTTTAAAACTTAACATGGTATAATTAAAATAGTAGGGATAACTTCTTACAATGACATCAATTACCCAGCCACCATGGAACATGATAGACAAAGCCTGAACTGACTAGTAGCACGTTAAAACTACAGCTTTTCAAACACCACAAAAAAAGCTACTAGCAGCCAAATACAGCCTTCTCCCTCTTTTGTAAGTCATTTTTAGTGAAACCCTGACTTGTATTAGTGGAGTTATTGGATGCAAGTATCTTCACATCTATCAACATAATTAAAATACACACTTGAGGGTTACCATGTAAAAGAAGGAACTCTGCATCTGATCACTCACTACACATCTTATTCATTACATTAAAGATCTGTACTGCACATGTATGTTCTAAAAAATGGAGCTTAATGCACTTCAGAGAAATGCACCCTAATTTCATTTGGGCCACAGTCCTCAATTTCTACAATTTGTCTTCAAGACAATGAAAATATTCCAAAACTAACAATATCATTCCCTGATAAAAACTTTCAAATATTCTAGCTGAGAACACTATACCTGAAGAAAAACAATTGTTCAAGAAGCTTTTGCAGTGAAGGGGGATTTCTGAAACTCTTTTCCATCAGTTCTCTCAGCATATGTTACTCAAACTTTGTTCTTAGAAGCAGTTTTTACAAACTCACATATCTTTGTTTCATACAGTTTTTACTTTCTATGGTTTTCAATTACAAATAAATTCTTCAAACTTTCATCAACATTACTGGTATTGATAAAGCCTGGAGACAAAACTGCTCTTACTCAGCAGAAATTGTCCAGTGCAATTGTCAGGTTCCATATATAGCAAAGGAAAAGGAGGCTTGACCTGCACTGCTCACATTTGTCCTCATGATAATACAAACTGAGTTTTATCAAAGTCTTTCAATTAAACCCCTTTATAAAATGTTATTATTCTTAAAAATAGTTCAGTTAATGTTTCACAGCAATGATTTCTTTACATCAATGAAATAAAGCCACTTACCATTCTTCAGTTCGAAGCCTACAGTCCTTAGCTTCTCTTTCTAGTGTCTGAGACTTGATCTTTATGCAAGAAGATAATCTCACAATGTAAGTGCTGACACAGCAAGACATTGCATTTCAAAACTTTGCAAACTTGCAAGCAAGAGGAAAAACTCCTTACTTCTAGTTTGGCTTTATCATTCTGCAGCTTCTCTATGGTCTCTGTGTATTTCTTTGTTAAGCTGTCCACCACAGCTTGGTGCTGGGCAGCATCTGTTTCCAAAACCTCCAGTCTGCTCCTCAGCTCTGCTTCCAAACGTTTGTGCTGCTCATCTGCTTCAAAGAACTACAGGAAGGAAAAAAAAGCTCTTTAAATAGCCTCATTTTACTACTGAATCCAGTCCTTTAAGTTACTCCAATTTCATTAGGCAGATCAGGTTAACAGCAATTACCAGTTCACAGAAAAACAGAAGTTTTATTTTATTTACAGAGAAAAGATTCAGGAAAGTTTTGTAGCAGTAATCATTCTTTAAATATATTGCTGACTAATAGCAGGCACATGAAAAACTGAACTTGAGCCAAAAGGTTTTTCTCAAGTTTTCTAAAGTGAAATGCATTCCACTTTGGTGAAGTAGCTCCTAATTAAGGCAACTTGCAGAAAATATTTTTAACTTTAAAGCAATTCTGAAACAGTAAATGAACTAATAAGAAATTTCCTATCAGTACCAGGCTATTTTTAGTAGGGCAGCTGTCACTCAAAATTAAAAACCTGAATGAGAAAACATGTATTATGTGATTCCACACACTTTCTTAGGAATACAAAGTCAAAACACTTGATTTTCCTAGTGAACTTCTTTATAAACAATCTGATCTAATCTACTGCTTTGCATACAACTAATCTTCTAAACCCAGCAGTTTTCAGACAGCACAATATCTTTGGCTGTAACACCAGTTCTCTGAACCAACAATAAAGGCACAACACAATTTCACTCACAAGTATATGCAGTCGTTCATTTTCTTCTATTTTCTTCTGAAGATCTTCATTGAAGACACTTTTCTGTTCTTGACTCAGCTGAGATGAAGATTCTACACTTTTCTAAAAGAGTCAAAATGCACTCATTATCTCCAAGTGCCAGGTTTGGGGGAACAGCTCCCACAGGTAATTCCCAGAGGGGCACACCAGGAGATGTCTTGCTGACACTGAGTGACACATCAAAAGTGTGAATATTGCACTCAGGAGCAGCCTCAAGGCAGCACACTTTCCTTTCCTTGTTTAAAATACACCCCTGTGACCCTGCCTGGGGAAAGCCTTCACCCAGGAGTCCCATTCACACTGACAGGAATCAATCAATCACTGGGATGGGCAGCAGCCCACCTGAATTCACTGGGATCCTGATGATCCCATGCAGTCAGCAATCCCAAACCCTCCATACCCAGGCTCAGCAGTTTTGCTAGCTGTGTGAAAGGCACATCTGTGCCCAGGTGTAAGGCAGGCTGCAGCACAAGGTGCCATGGAAGTACAGGCTCTCCCCTGCCCATTTCCTCATTTTCCACTAGTTTAATCCAAAAGACTCAGATCACTGAATCCCACACACCACACTGCTGAGGAAAGATATTATCTCCAAACACAGGGCAGACTCTATGCATTTAAACTCAACACCAAACCTCAAGAATTAGGGATGTGAGGGCAGATAAGTCACTTCTGTGTTTGATGCCAGCCTGGGAACTCCACCTGAGATATGGGCACATGTTCTGCTCCTTCTAAAGGGACTGCACTCTAACACAGACCAGGGAACTAAAGCTGTGCATTTTAACAGGAAAGAAACTCAGTGGCAATTGTTTGCAAAGCTACTAAAGACAGGCTGATGTCCTTGAAAATTTGGAAACACAGCTAGCAAAACAGTAACTTACACAGTTTGAAACAAAAGAACAGAAGGGTCAAGCTGCATTTGAAAGAACAATCTATTGTGGTGCATGAATAATGTAGTCAGAAGCACTGTGCTTGTGAAGGAACTGGACAGCAGAAAAATGGGCAAGAGTTTATGGGAAAAGTAGGAAGATGATCATATTACTAATCAATTAAATGATTTATTTAAAGCCAGTCTTGATAACTACAGTACATTGAGAAAAGACAGCACCAAAAAGAAAAGACAGCAGTAATAAACAGGGGATTCTTCATGAGGAAAGCACCAAGAAATGCTTGAGAATTAAGAATTACTGAAGTCCAAGCGCACCACCCCTAGAATTGTGATGTTACCTACAGAAGGCACAGCTGGCTTTAGAATATGACATCACAAGGTTTAATCAGCAAGCTTTTTGGCAGAAAAGATCACAGTGTTGAAATCATTCTGTCATTTTGAAATAACAAAGAATACAAGCTAAAAATTTAGATTTCAAAGCATTTGAAAAGATTCACATAGAAAAGCTATGATCACAAGCAGAAGAGTTAACTACCAACATCAAAATTACAAAGCAAAGAGGTGGGGATGGGAAATGAGGAGTGATCAGCTTTCTGCAGAGCAGCTGACTAATCACAGAGCTCTAAAGTATTTCCCACTTTTTTGAACACTTAATAAATATCCATAAAAGAAGACAGCAATTCAGCATCAGCCAGGTGACAGACTAGAAGAGTAGAGAACTACACAGCATGCATTATATATATATATATTTATATATCAATGTGTTTTATGGGTGTTTTCACTCACATCAGGTAAAATAACACAAGCTCTGACAAGAACACTCAGCTCAACCCTTGCCACAAAATACCTACTGCTAAAACTCAGGACAAGGCTCTGACAGGTGAGGAGCAGACATCTGCTAAGCAAGTTTTCTTTGCCTTCAGCACATACCTTGTTCTTTTTGCCCCGAGCTTCACTTAATGCAAGTTCATCCTGAAGCAGCTCCACCCGCTTGGCAAGTTGCTGATTCCTAAAGGTCAAGCTGTCCATTTCTTGTTGAAGTTTCCTCAGGGACTGATCCTTCATCTTCAGCTGCTCCTGAATGATTAAAAAAATTTAATTTTAAAATCTTCACATTTATTTTTACAAGTTAGAAACAAGTTAGAAAGTTGGTACACTTTTGAAACACTGAAGAGATAGAAAGTATCATTTCTGAACTAAAAAAAAATGTATTTCACTTCCTTGAGCTGGTCACAGATCATACCCAAGGAGCTATTTAATTCTATAATTATCAAGAATCAAACTTCCCCTTTTACAAACTCAGCACTTACAGAGAACAGGCCAGCTGCAAAACAGAAATTCTTTTACTAAAATCAAGCTTCCCTCTTCACTCTTTTATTGACATTACTTTTTAGTAAAAAGTACTCCTATACATTAATTTTGTCACAGCTTAGTCCACCTGACATGAGCAGTTTTTAGAGATTACCTTCAGTGAGGCAGAGTTTGCTTGCTCATCTACAACTCCTTTTTTCAGGACTTGGTTCTGAGCACGAAGCTGAAAAACAAGAGATGCCAGTGACCATGCAAGGCAGCAGAATGAACAAAAACCATCCATGAGAAAGTGCAGAAAGCATCACGTTCTCTCAGGAGAGTGCCAGGTGTGAATGCTTTTTCAAGTGCTCTCTTCAGGCAGATAGCAGTGGTGTCAGGTTTAAAAGGCATCCCATTCATATCCTGACTTGCCAAAGAACAAGAAGTAACTTTACCACCTGAACATTTTGGTCAAATACAACAGAATTCTTAATAAATACCCTTGGAGACCAGTTACTTAAATATAATTAAGATTTGAAGAACTAGGAACAAATAGGGAAAAGCTGCAACCTCTTCCCTGACTAATCAAGTTCTTGGTCACATTCAGGGCTATTTCTGTCTCTCCCCTCTTCTTCCCAAAACTGTTTATAACCAGTTCTGGAACACAAGCAGGACTTAAAGTCAAAATCTGTATCAATTCAAGAGGAGTTCAATGCACAATTACTTATTACCAGTGGCAGCAGATGATCCAGGGAGAACAGACTGACACAAAAAGCATACAAGGAAAAGCCCTCTAAGCCTTACTTATACAGTACCCAAAATCTGAGCTAAAATCACTGCAGTGAAAAGTGATCCTCAAGAAATCTATTTCCCACAGAGCCACTCCACAGAGTACCTCTACCCTGCAGCAGTGAGGATACTGGCACTTCCATCTTCCCATTCCTCAAAAATTGCTTGGATTCTGGTTTCTCCAAAGGCAGTTTGCATTCATTTGACATGTGTGAGTCCAGCTGTTGCAGATACAAACTAAAAGGGTTTGTGCAGGTATCTGGCAGGTGCATAAAAGGCAAGACTCAGGGTAAAACAGCAGTGGCTCATTGTTTCAGTGTGATGCCTGAGTATATTTGAAAGGTCAGAAGTCACTGCTAAGCTGTTTCCCCCGCAGTATTCCCACTGTGCTGCTCAGGCATCACAAAGGCAAGGCAAGAAACCTCCCAGAGAACACAGAAAAACTTCCAAGCATAGGTTTCCCTAGCAAGAAGGAGCAGTGCAGGAGTTTTCCACAGCTGTCTCTGGGCCACAGCTGCTACTGTAGGAGCAGAGAATGAAGCAGCTCAGTCCTGCTGCACCCACAGACCCAGCTGCAGTGGGACCCACACAGGCTGCCCCAAAGCTACTTTGGTTATTCCTTCAGGAGACAGCCAGCAGCTGCAACTTGTGTGTTTTCAGAGTCTCTTCTTCTCCTCATCCTCCTTCTGGACTGGTCTGTGAACCAAGAGGAAAAGCAATCCTTTGGCAGGGATTTCCCCCAGCACTGTTTGAGTCTGTCAGACTCTTGTCCACCTCTCTCCATGGCTTTCAGAGCACCTTCAGGTGAGCAGGCTACTCCAGGGCTACTCTCCCCTTCCACTGGACACAACAAGCAGCCAGCAACAAAGAGATGAGGGCTCTGCAAAGGAGAGTCCCACAATGAGCTGCACTGCACGAGAAATGGGATGAGATGAAAAAAAGCTCCAGAAAAGGAGAAATGGCACAGGCTCCATTCTCCACTTCTACACAGGAGAAGTGCATGGTGAAGCTCAAAGAAAGCTTCTGGGCACCATGATGCTAAAAGGAAGGATCCAGCAGCGGGAACTTTTGGAAGCCATAGTCACAAGTCCACATTTCCAATGCTCATTCAGGAATCAAGCACCAACATCCGTCCATTATCTCATCCTCAGCCACTACTGATCTCCAAGGAATAACAGAGCCTCTGTATAAAACAAGGCATGTGAATTCTGTGACCTACAGAGCTGCAAAGCAAATTAAATGTTTTTGAAACTATTTTGTGGCAGCACTAAAAGGCTTTCTATCTGCAAACTATTTAGATGCTACACATGGTGTTTTTGTAACAGTTCCAAGAAGAGTGTTTAGAGACATGGTTCTGTGAGCTGGGAAAGTGTCAAACACAGACAAGTGCCTTGTGCCACTTGCTGATGTGGGACTGCACAAAAAGTGCTACTTTTCTTCCCCAGGGCTGCTGGAGGACTCTGCCACTCCAGACCAAGAGTCTCCTCTTCCTTTCAGTGAAGAGGACAGAATGAAGGGCTCTGTGCTGAGCAAGGCTCCACTATTTCACCCCAGGCACCATGGAAAGGAAACGCATTCTCCACTATGGGTACACATCTTTGTAAAGCAGCACCAGAAAGGGGATGTAAAATCACCTGCGGCACAAGAAGGGGGACAGACAGGAGGCAAACGTGGAAGTAAATGTCCTGCTCGCTTCCAAGACACCGACACCGCCGAGCTCCCGCACCCGGGCGCTCACACGGCCGGCACCGGGACAAATGTTCACGGCCAAGCGGGTAAATCCAGGGCCCGAGCCCGCCTGGAAGCGGAGAGCAAGGGAAGCACGGCCGGTGTCAGTGCCCCGGCACAGCCGAG